TGTGTTTCTTCGGGGATAATAAAATGTTTTTTTTCTACTTTATCTGTCACGAAATTGCCCCTTTTCTACATCTGGGATGCCGTGGAAGTGCCTATTTTCGCCTGGCGGTGTCTTGTCGCGAAAAGAGTGCAGTTTGGATAGAGAGGGGAGAATAAATCCCGAGTCCTGGAACGGAACAGACCTTGAGAGAGCAAAAGTTTTGTTTTTCTTTGTAAATTAGAAACTCTCCTTTAAAGTTAACGTGAGACAAGAAACTGAGTGTTAATCTTCAGAGGGTCTTTTTCACAACAGAGAAGAAAGCGAACAGTTAGAATCTCATTCTTCAAAATAAAATGGTTTCAAAGAGAATGAGGTAGCACAAATTCCCACAAGCCGTGCCTCCGCTCCTCTTACCGAGGTTTGTACCTCTGGCTACTGCGAAACACTCAGGGATTTTTTTCCCCCGTACTTCCAAAGCTAAAGTTTCCGGAGGCTATGCGTGAAATAGTAGACAGCATACACTTTATTTAGCTCAGAATGGGCTACTTTCTCTGCAACTCTTTGCTGTTGTTAACATACCAAAAGGCTCTCTAATGTTAATGGAATAAAGTGGGACACGAAGACCAAAGATGAAAAGGTTTGTGTCCAATCGCTGAGCTTCATGTAAGTCTCTGGCATACAGAAACAGACCACACTCTAAATAAAGTACACAGTGCTATTTCTGTAAAATCTGTTGGTATGATTCAGTAACGTGGAAAAAAATAGGCAGAGAATGAGTCTGCAAGAGATGTGAAAGCACCATTTTATTCATATTTTGATGCCAAGCTCGGAAGAAAAATCACAGTTTTTGCTCACTGGTCTTTTGCCGGGTTACAGATCAAGTCACAGCAGCTTCTGTACATAAAACCTTTGGCTGCAGCACAAAGTGATGCAAAGCAATTCATCCACAAAGTGGTGACTGCTCCATTAGCATGCACACCTCCTTATCAGCTAAAACTTTGTATACGTTTTTGTGTCTCTGGCAGGAGTTCCCAATCCATTTACCTTGAAGTTTAATGGCCATCAGCCAGTTCAGCACCGTCATATTGCTGCATCTGTACCTGATGTAGACAAACCGCACTTGCACAGTTTACGTATGATGCTGACCAGGTGAGCAACTTCACTACTTCAACGAAATGCAAGATCTGTGAGAGGAAAAATACCACCTCACTCCTCTCTCTCATTCCACTACAGGGAAGGCAGATGAACCTCTTGAAGATTTTGGGTGACCCCTCATCTTCAATTACTTCACAAAGTCCCATTCTTTAAAACTTCTTACAGGCAGTTTGAACTTTTCTCGTATATTTATGGTAAAAAGGACTTTAGGAAAAGAAACATATTTTTCTCTCCCACTTATGTTTTCTGTCTAACTCTTCCTCATCATTGAGGTCTCCTAGCTGAGCAGTTATCCCTGAGAAAGGGAGGGCAAATAAGATGGCAAATTCAGCAAATCTGGATCTGGGCTTTCAAAGCCGTGTTGGAAGTGGGATGGCTTATACAGCAATGTTCACTGGGTATTTTACAAAGGCAAGAGAACTTGACTGTAACACATTTACTTCATGTAGTAATAGGGGGCATAAAGAATTCAATAGTGAAATTATTAACATCTCCTAAAGTTTCCTGAAATCAGGTGGATTTCACCTGAAATCAGGTGGCTTGCTCCGTCCCATCTAGGTCTGGTAAAAGCCCTGGTGTCCTTTAAAAACTGAACTTGTTACATGGTCTGTAAGTTGAATCTTTTTGTACTCACCAACTCTCTTCACATGACCAATGCCAATACTGGGGTTGGGACAGAAGCCTTTCTACTTCACAATAAAACAATTTCCCCCATTTTCTGTAACTCTTATTTTGCAAGAGTAATAATGCAGCACAGTAGCACATTTTCCTCCAACCTGTAATTTGATATTCTCAAGACTGTTTTCCTTACACACACATATATGGAATACAGCTGTATGTCTAAATCCTGTATAGCAGTGATAACTACACCACCAACCATCTCCAGAGGAAAAGCCTCTCAGTATGTGCCAGAGCAACACTGCAGTGCATTGTTGTAGTCCTTGTCTTACTCCACTTTTGAGGCTATCAACCTCCATCAAATGTTAAATGGCCATTTTGCAACTTGAAGCTATTTTTTTAAATTATTTTATATGCTTCTGCTTATTTGATTTTCCACTTATGTGTTTACTCCATTATTCCCTTCCCGTATTGTTAAGAAGACAATATATTCTCATGACCATCTCGCAAACAAGCAGTCAAGCCATGTGTATTAGGGGGAGGATGTAGAAGTACCAGAGAAAAATCAAGGCATACAAGGAGAGATGAATACAGTGTCACCTCATTCAGTAGTGAATACGTAAGGATTGTGGTTCGCCCTCCTACCCCAAATACTGCTATTCTTTGTGTGATTAGCAGCACGAAAAGCCTGAAGTTATGCACCAGAGGTCATTACTCTAGTCATGGTTAAGCTTAATTAGGACACATGGAAGTAGTACACATTTCCCTGCAACACAGACACAAAAAAAAGGAGAAGATAGGGAGGAGACTTGCTGGGAGAGATTCTCCCTCCCTCTTATGCATTTGCCGTCACAATTACAGCAAGCTTTGCTGCCTCACCTTAGAAGAGGTGACCATCAAAAACAACAGGACCTCAATGGTATTCCACGCTTTTGGTCTCCACATGCTCTGTCAGTATCGACAGAGATACCTGGTAGAGTAACAAAGATCTGCCAGCAAATCCTACAGAACTTTTTTTTTGCTGGTGCTACCAATGTGAGCCAGCTCAGACTGCAGGGCTAGATCTGAAAGCCTCTTTAGGGCCCTTCCCAGCCAGCATGAGAAGTATAGATTATTATAACCGGTAACATATGCCTACTAGCTTGAAAAAATATACAGTATTCCAAACCAAACTTAATGCCTGCAAGACAACATGCAATTTTTGCAAGATTAGGGTAATTTTCCATTTATTTGCATGTCCCTTTTGCGATACTTAACCTGGCACTAGGTGACAAAGCATAGTGGCCACTGTCCTGGTTTCGGCAGGGATAGAGTTAATTTCCTTCCTAGTAGCTGGTACAGTGCTCTGTTTTGGATTTAGGATGAGAACAAAGTTGATAACACACCGATGTTTTAGTTGTTGCTAGGTAATGCTTACACTAGCCAAGGACTTTTTAGTTT